TTTTATCTTGTCTTCCTTAATAATTTCAACGTTTTCAAGATGATTTCACATTACGACAAACTAAGTTCACAATTGTGGATGACCTAATCGACTGAGCTGAGTTAGTTGTATCGTGACGCAAATCGACTCTTGACAAATTTTCGGATTGGTTCAACCCTTAAATTTTCTTCCACTGTTGCAATACACAAATTCAACAACTGAACTGTCTGAATTTTGATTTCTCTATTCCAGTAACCGCTCAAAGGAAACATTTATTTGTTTTTCTCAAAAATAAGTTGCCGAGCTAAACTGAGTTCCAAGGTGGCTTACATATTACCAGCGTTTTATAATCACTGCAAATCGGGCAATGCATCAGACATTTGTCACACTAATTTAGGTCTGTTTGTTTACGTTATCAGAGACTTGTTTACGACCGAAAGGTAGATTAATAAATCTGACATCTTCCCTATAACTCATTCGTTCCATTGCACATCATCAAGAATGTACAACGAAATACGTTGAAGCGAACTGCACTGATTGTTGTCAAACTCGAAATGCATACAAAGTTAGTGAGAAAATGTGAGGTGGACAGGGATTAGGCTTATTTAGAGGGAAGGGGGAAAAAATTATACCCGTACAGTCAACAACACACAGAGTGCGCAATCTTGCTGTGCACCCTGGTCCGATAAGAAATGATAACGAGAATTCCACTGCTGTCAGTTCGCTGTCAAATCTTTCAGTCTCCTCAATCAACCAATTGCTGTCATTCTGCATCCCAACCTGGAAGGTGAGACACACCTACTCTACCTAACAGCTCAAGCATTTCCTCGGTTCTCGTCTCCAAGTCATCTGTAGACTTTCTCATGGTTTCTTCTTCTTCTTCGAACGGCTGCAGCAAGTAATACGCGATAAGGGAGACGAATAATACGCATGCGCAATACTCGTCCAAACCAACGAAGCCTACTATCTGAGTTTGAAGCGTGAGCAAATAAATCCTCGACAAAATCCCAAGCATGTGACAGTTTGCCTCCAAAAAATTAAATCTTTCACTCCATACCACGTGTGCCATACTACGTAAGCATCACTACTCGAAAACTACTGGTCGATGAATATCTTCTACTCGCAAATTCAAATTCTCACAACAAAGACAGCAGAACAGAACGAACCGTGCGTGCGTCACATCTACGCAACTGCCTAGGGTTATTCGTTCTATCTCAATAGGGGTAAGGAAGTCTTAGTTTTACGGATAAGTCAAAAGGAGGCTAGCACTACCTCTAGTGTAGACCTATAATTTTTTGGGTATTAGTCACAGGACCGTTTTTGGAAAGGACGGTGAATTGATACTATTTGTAGCTGAGCCGTCCAACCTCAATTGGAGTTCACCTAATTATTAGGAAAGTAAGTGTTCTTAAATTCAGAATTTTCATATTACACACCTATAGTTCATTGATGGAAACCGGTAACCCAAGCCACGGAACTTGGAGTGGCGAGCCACATAAGGTCCCGATGGCAAAGTTGCCTACCACCAAAGTTTGGTGGCAGTGGCGGAGCTCGAACCTCGGATCATGGGCCCAAGGTACACCAGCGACACCGACTAAACCACTGCACCACCACCAACTTCACCCATGTCAGAAATAACTATGAAAAGTATTGAAAACGTTCTGCAGCTGTTTCCCTCCCGTCCAAAACCATTTCCAGTGCATTTCTGCTGAGTTTGTGGTGCACGTGCACGGTCGCGAGTGTCACCTGGTCCTGTCAAATTACCCCGATTAGCTACAGTGACTCACTTCCTCTCTGAGGGCCTCAATATCCCGCATTTGCTCTTTGCTAGATGGTGTCAGATGGTGTCTATCAAGAACAAATACGCTGCGCTGAGCCTTCCAGGTGTTTCTGTGATAAGCAATGTTTTTTATTTTTACTTCCTTGTATCAAGTGTATAATGTTACAGTCTTCGGGAAGGGAACAGCGGCTAATCCAGAGGCTGTCATGCAGCACAATGGGAAAAAGCAGGCAGTGGTGGTGGTATTCTAATCCACGTCCTCCTGGGTGATAGATTCGGTGACCTAAATAACTTGGGCATATTACGCTTTCATTTATATGCTAAAAAGAAAGTTGATCAAACATCCTAGATGCATGGGTTCACTTTGGGCAATACGATAAAGCACGATTAATTCCTCAACTCTTGCGCAAAGCTGATACATCAGCGGATCTGAACTACCAATGTTCGGTTACTTATCCGTAGGATATGTTTATAGCCGCGGACTAATACCGTGTAAGTCAGTCCATTTTTGGCATTTCGTACCCGTGCTCTCTTCGAACGTGCCGGGCAAGGCTGGAAGAAGCGACGCGACGGTCAGACCATGACATGAAGAAGCTGGCTTCAGCTTTGGCTTCCGTTGGTGCAGCCCGCCTTCCAGGTTGAGGCCCAAGGGATGAAGATTGTCGTTGGTTAGAGACGCTGAGAGATATGGCCCGGAATAGAAGTCAGTTGCGCGAATGTTGTACGATCTGCCTGTCGAAATCCCGTGCCCCGTAAAAACCACAAACCACAAAAAGGTTCAAAAAGTGTACGGTGAAACACCCAAAAAAAATTGCTATTCCTTTTATTCGTAATCTCCCATTCAGCCAGCTACATTCTTTTCCTATACTCTGCACCCCAACCTACCCCCTACCCCTGTTTATTGTTATTGTTAATGTTGTTATGGCGTTGGCATCAAGCTTGTTCTCAAGCCGGGGTTAAATATATATATATATATATATACATATTTATTTATATTTCGGACCCGTTTTTACCACAGCATCAAAAAAGGTTTGTAGAATGCATCGAATGCGGCCTGTCTTTCCATTCGAACAGTTCTTAACCCTCTCCCCAACATGCAGGACATTTGTATGACCACTACTGTGGTACTAGGGTCCATCCTCCATTAAGTTTCCTCCTTATAATCGTTTTGTCATACACAGTCATAACATAATCGTTTCAATAAGCCACTGTTAGTAGTTGGTTCACCGGCTCGTTGATTTTTCGTCGAATTCACAATCGTCAAACTACAAACTTTTGAAAGATCAGTTCAGTTTTTACAACCATTAACCGCGCATCTTTGTGTGCTGTTTTAGGTTTCTCTCTGTACGGTGCTTATTGGATAAAACGGCAGCAAGGTTGCAATTTAGCGAGCAGAGTCAAAGACAATATAGAGAATTAATATAGGATAATAAGTAGATGTACGAGCGCCACTGTCTGCGGCACTCGCCGGTTACAATGATCCCGCGATCGCCATTCAGAGTCGAACGCAACCTATATGACCCAGTTCCGTGGTTAAGATTTTCACACCCTCATGCTAGGTCTTCGCTTGGCCGCCTTTGAATGTTTTCACTCATAACCTGCTTCAGCAAACATCGAGAGTCATGGCAACTTGTTTTGTGCCACGCGCAACACATGTCCCAAACAGTGTAATCTATGAAGATAAACCACTTGTTTCAGTGGGCGACCGCGAATATTTAAAACTCAGCTTCCAAACTCAGCATTGCTCGTCCGGTTTCTCCACGAGACTTGTGCAATGTGGTATAGACATTGATGTTCGAACACCGGCAAATTATTTTTATCCTGTTCCCGTAATGGCTGAGTCTGCGCACGGTATATTACGACTAGCCTAACTGCTGCTAAATACACTCGGTCTCTCACAGACAGCCGGATGTCGTGATGTTGCCACAGATGTCTCAAATTGGCTTACATTAATCGGGCCTTCAATATGCCTGCCGATACTTCATCCGTGATACGTCCGCCAGGTGAGCATTGCTAGTCAAATAGCAAAATTTGTCTGGTCATTCCAATACTTCGCAGTTAGAGTAAGATTGGGAGCTGGATCAACCCAATCTTGAGGCAACATTTTACATATTGAAGATGCAAGACGCACATCAAACATAGCTACATTAGCAATCGAACTAGCCAAAAAAGCTTGCACCTTTCCTGGGTCTGTACTTAGCAGCGAAATACTGTCTGCATTCTTCAGACCAGACATTCTACTACCTGAGATCAAACTGATGCCATGATTCTCACAAGAAGATAGGGCTATCTCAAGAATCAGAACTATACCCAGTTGAAATACAGAAGGAGAGGGTGACTCGGTCTAACATCTCTTTCCGTGATGAATACGGGTGTAAAGGAGCTTTGAACATTAAGAAAATACGTTGTTTGGTCTAATCTTAAATTAATTTTATGAGATAAAATGAGTTCACATGAGTTTATGCTGAAGAAACTAACAGCTGAATCCAATATAAATGGCAACATGTGTTTTCCTTAGTTTGGAGGCCAAATGACACTGGTTAGGAGCCTTACACTAATGGTTAACTTTAAATGCGACGTTCGGCTCACAAAATATGTGGCATCCGTTTCTTTGTGAATTCAATTCAAAACTTTGAACCCACTGGAAACGGCATCGTAGAATTTCTTGCGCGTTTTGCCCAGTCACATGAAACAGTAAACTGACCGAAGCAGACCCTTTCGACGTAACGGAATGAATCTGAATTGTTCGAATGGTTTCTTTTTGGAAGAATGAGGTCGTATGTTGAGATACACATAAGACTTCAATCTGTCAAACAAAGTAATTTGAATGGTTTTTACTGCTTCAGAAACTCATTTCGAGGATTTCTTTGGAGTCTAAGGAAATAATGTAATGGAATTTAGCTTGCAGGCTACCTGCATATATCTATGTAAGTTGAACGGGCAGTCTCAATATGAAAAGATCTGTTCTGTTGGTGTTGCCTCGCTGTTCAGGTGGTAGAGTACGCGATGTACAAAGTTGGAATTGAATGACTCCACTGATACCGAACGTTTTACAATTTAAACAGAAAGCTCAATCGTTTTGTTTAGGCCTCAATAACTTTGGTGATATGTTGCAGACTTTGAATGGTAAAATATAGCTTGTAAGCAAGGTTTTCTCGTAAACTGCAGAACAGATTGGCAAAACACAGAAGCACAGAGTTCGATGAGAAAATATGTTCGAAGTCAACAAACTCTGACCCACTTTGAATCGTTTTGTGTTGCTTTAGCACCCAAAGTTCCACTGCGTACTCTCTCACCGGTGCTGTTGAAACCTGTGGACATATCAGTTAGTGGTGCATCTGCATCAAGTTTGTTCTGTGGCTGCAAAACAATTAGATTAGGAGAGGGGATGAAACACTGCAATCATCCAAGGACTGCGCAATCAGAAAATGAATGGAGAGCAATGAATTGGTTCTGACCAATTGTTGTTCGCGGTTAAAATATTGTTTACAAGCATCTGTAATGAATGCCTGTGTCAACTACCGTATCACTTTGAAACCGAAATTATGTCCGCTATCAGATATCACGAGCAGTATTTATCAGTTCAACATTAACATTCGGATTTTATCATCAGGTTAACACTAAGCTAATTCTTCTTGTACTTTTTGTCTCTGAATCGGATGAATAAAAGTACTCGTTAGAGGTGAGAGTAGAATGCATGAGATGGAAGCCTAACGTGCTCCGGATAACATATTGCACGTCGTCTACTGCGCCATTCACTAAACTGCCACTTATGTCTCCAAGATGCTGAGGCACGCATGAGTTACCACATTCCAAAAAATCAGTAAACCGGTGAACTGCACCAGGGTGATAAGGTCCGGGGTCTAAACGGCTGGCGCACGGCATGCAGAAACAACTGCTCTATGGTAGACAGATGAGATCCGCCGCCTAGTTAAACAGCTACGAATACAATCTGTTCAATTGATTTGTGGGTGAATTTCCTGGTTGAATTTGCATTTATTGAACAGTTAATGAGCTCCCCGGAGCCAACGGTAACCAAGCTCTAGCACATTACCACCTCGCATTCCGAACTTGGTCGTGCTAAGAGAGGAGGGGCACCCAAAAAGAACGAGTGATACTTTAGAAGTCTGTTGTAACGAGGTTCAATCAAACCCAAAGACTGTCACAAAGTCAGCTTGTTTCCTCCAATAAATGATTTGTAGTAGGGAAAGAGAAAATCACTTGTTTAACAGGCAACTAGTATGATTGAACATCGCAAGGATTACCAACAACCTGGAAAGACAGAGAGATGAAAAACTGCTTTAAGGATGTTACTGCTTTCACTTCGAAGTTACCATTATTATAATATTCCTCGATTGTTTTGATGATTAAATATAACAGTTACTCACCTGAGTAATAACAGGTATTTTGCACTACTTCCCATGTAATTAAATTGAAAAGGCAAAATTTAGAAAACAAAATGAATGACAAACTATATCAATCTTTCAGTGGAACGAACCGGAGGAACAACAGTCAAATTACAGAATAAGAAAATAAGCAATCATCTTTGAAACGTAAAATAAACCAATTTATCTCTTTATATGTGTTTCAAAAGCTGATTCAAATTGTTGCAACACGAGCCATTAAAAGCTGCAAATGTGAAGGGTACACTATATTTTAAGCATTTTGTCAACTCAAACTCATCCTTGCAACACTGGTATCTGGTGCGAATCGACCAAATTAGCAAATACGACATCTTACCCACGGTCGATGTTGGAATTATATGTGAAATTTGTACATTTTGTGAGTAGACCAATGGTTTTGATATGCGATATTCCGACCTAACCCACTGGGACCTTAAGCGCTTTACTACTAAAACTCCTGTGGCATAAGTTGCTGGTTTTCATCACGGAATAGCAGGTCCTCGTGCATAAGTAGTTTATCCCCTCTGCTGGTCATCAGACTAGAGTGTGCAATGAAGAGCTAATGAAATAACGAAATAACCTGTTTAGCGCGTTTGAATAAACTGCAAACGTAACAAACCCGGAAATCATATTAGAAAACTGGATTCGGATTTACCGCAATATATGCGCATCGCCAAACCCCGAGGTTGAATACACAGGAGTCCTTGATAAAATAGAGTTGATCAAATGAAATGCTGTGTATGTATTGCGCACGACAAACCATCATCATTTAAAGTCGCTAAGAAAAACGTTACAGATGGTCCAAAAGGACTGTAGCTTTGATTGGCTTCACTCAAAAGTCAATGAACCCTCAGGTGACAAAATATTAACACTAATATAAAGGGATTCTATTTGTTGCGTACAAAACGGAGGAACATAGAACTAAGCTTCATCAGACATTTTATATTCACGTTTATTCTAACTTATTGTTATTTAATCAGAATATTATAATGTACTTACTCAGACAATCATAGATTGCAAGGAATATCGTGCGAAGAGTGCTTGAGATACATAGTGATAACGCCAGTTATTATGGCCTGCTTCATAGCCGTCACTAAAATTATCCGCACATTTCCGGACTGATTCACTGATATTTGAGAAAATTAGTACAGAACCAGGAGTCTGCTTCGTTTATGATGAATAGGCTTTACAGAAACATGGTCTCTTGTTTACGGGGTCAAACTGTGATCACAGTTACGGACAAAACAAATGACCAGATGTACCACACAAACACAAAGCCGCTTTCGCCCAATCCCAAACCACGTTGACCAATTTCGTGGGGTATGAAACCAGTTGGTCGATTTGGAAGATAACCTCAAAGATGGACATGATTCATCGGATGCAAGCAAGTTCCTAACCCGCACACCATGATTCGCCCTGCCATCATCACGATGTCCCTTGTACTATATGGTGTTCTTTGTCATCAGTGTTATCGCAGCCGGATGAACTATCTCACCCGACGCACACAGGTATCACGTGTGACCCGCTTACAGACGTGGTATGATATAAAGATGAATAAAGCAAGGAAGCTTTATGAAAACAAAGTAGACGAACAAACGTGAATCATGGACTAGTTTCCAGAAATAAAACGGCTACTGGTTGTTGATGCAATGTGTGCTTGTGTGATCATATTGGCCGACAATAGACGAAATCGACATGTGCACCCATGCTTTAATCACAACTCCTGAGTTTTGCGCTCTAACTTGTAAGAGACTTTGGAAATGCAATTGGTTGAAGGGGGAAATCTTGGAGAACCTAGAGTATGCCTCGGAAGTGAGTTCTCTTAGATTGAAACCGTTAACATGACAAAAATGTACTGAATTCCCTAGGGCTTATACTGCATTCTTTCATTTGCATTGGGGAAAAGCACATTTGTGCAAAGAGAACGTTCATCGACAGAACGCACAAAGGAATACTTATTGCAACCTAATGATTATGGTCTCTCCTAAAAAGTAGCAAAAAACTTTTTAGTGTACAAGGCATGGATTAGCCCATTCGATTTTTCAGGGGCACCAGGCACTCTTGGTGGTCTTTGGTGTGGGTTTTACTCCTTAGGAAATCGTTATTGTCCCACGATGTAATGCATTCAAATGCGATGGAAATGTTTGTGATGACCGACAAAGAGCAATGGACAGCTGTTTCGTCTCGTTTGGGACTCGTCAGCAGTGCGTACTTTTTGTGTTCCTGTCAGGACACAGCTAGAAATATTAACTCACAAAACCGTACACAATGGCTTTTGCGCGCATCTACGCCTTTATTCTCCTAGAATTCTGACAGTTTGGGCTCGTATCAAGATCGCATAGCTCTTCTAGTTAGGTGTCCTCACCCCTTTGAGGGGACTTCTTCGAGAAGTATTTGGGAAAGAAAAAAGTGGACATGACTAGTTATGAACGTGTTACATTTTAACTGTCCTACCAAGTCAAAAATATCTCCATTATTCTTGTTTTTGCTGTGCAATCGCTTTATTTAACTGTGGTTTTTATTAGTATAATTAGCTGTAAAAGCTATGTATAAATAAGTTATTCCCAAGATGATTCTTTCCGAGAGATCACCGACTTCATAACACAGATGAACTTGGTTCAGTGAGACGACACAGTGAAATTTATAATCCCTAGAAAATATATGAAAAAAGACTGAGTGTTCAAAATTAATTATGTGATATTTTTAAAACGACACGGTAACACGTAGCCTCAGGATACGGCCTTAGAGTCACGAAATCGATTTAATACTTCGCGGATACAGACCATCATTAATGATCAAATATGTTGAAACCCGATTCGAACAAAAGCATTTTTCCATATTTTAGCTTTTCATGACCTTACCGATAATTGCAACATAAAATCACGTACCTTAGTCGTTTGAGAGAAAAAATTGGTTTTATTTACATTTACGATGTCAATTACGGTCTAAACGGATAAATGTTTATTATTACGTTGAATCTAAAGGGATGAGAACATGTGACTTTCTCCAGTGGATGAATTTTTGGACTTTCAAGGTCAACAACTTAGATCTGTAAAAGTACACATTTTTACACAACCGACATCTTTCTCCCGTCCATCTGATAGACAGGATGGAAGAACCCACAACCGGTAACCTAAAAGCGCTAGCACAAACTATTGTCCCATATGGCGATAAAAGTATCTAGTGGTTTAATAAGTTTATGCAACAACAAAAGGTAAACGCAATGATTCGTGTTCATTCTTGCACTACTGCAAAGTGTTGTTGCAGGAGTGAACTGCTCTCAATCCTCATAGGGTAATGATCTCATCACTCTCAATGATTGATTTCCGAAAATTTTCAAGTGAGCATACAGCTGCAATCCAACTGTTTCAGTGTCTGGCGCAGATCACTTGTCGAGGATGGGTTTGTTCGGTTGTGCTTGGTCTCCGGTGCCCTGCACGTCGCGGCCTAATCCTAAACAATCAGGCATCTCATATAGTTTCTGCTGAGAAAGCCTTACCCACAACCTTATACGGGGCTGCAACCAAGTTGATGAACCATTGGCAGTACATCTGTAGGTGTTGGCTAAAGTCTTTCATTCCCGGCAACGGCGGTGTATCTACCGCAGTGAGCCATTAGTAGTGCTGGCAGTTGTCACCAATTTGACTGGACATCGAGGTGTGTTGGGTACTGTTAGGATTCTTTTAGACTTTTGATCTTAATATTATGGTATCACTGTTTACTGATAGTGCATATTTTTAACTTTCCANACTTTCCATTGTAGCCAATTTGCCTGCATTGTTAGAAGATTTGAACCTCGTTTCGGCTCTACGTTTATCTCTCTTATTCATCGCTCATCGCTTATTCGATCTCATTACAGTCACCCTGAACATCTGACCCGGACAAAAGGGGGTCGGGCTTGGTTGACCGAAGGCTCTAGGTTTGAATCCGTAGATAAAATTTACCCAGTTTAGTCTG